GCTACTAGGGGCTCCTGGCCTTACTACTAGGAGCAAGAAGCTACTAGTAGGATGTTTTGTTACGTTTTAACAGTCTGAGAGGATGATGTTTCATCCAACCTCTCGACCAGGTGCTTTCACAATATCTCCTACTTGGTCATGGGTCCTAGTTTGGTCGTTCGTTTCAGCACCGGACTGGCGATCCAGGTGATCTTTGGACTAATAATCCTTGTTGGAGCTCTTCTTTGCCTGCTGCTTCTTTATACTACTGGACAGGCGCAGGCAAACGAGCCTGTTGAATCTTGCTGCATTTAAAGAACTGTCGCAGTTTGTGGTACTCACCAGCTGGAGGGAGGTGTGTCCCCATGTCAGTTTTCTTCTCAAGCAGTTTCAAGCTGAATTGACACCTCGTGCTGAGCACCTCAGGGCTTAGCGCGGACGGACGACCCCCGAACATGGAGGGTTTGGGGCTCTTCAGCTTTGGTCCGAAGATGGTTCAGTTTCTTCCAACATCCTTCTGATAGTTCTGACTGCTATAATGAGATGCTCTTTTTCTTTGGGAGGGGGAGATGAAGCGAAGTGAAGTGAAGTGAAGTTGGAGACGTTTGAAACGAACGGTCCAGTTCTACGCCACCCGTCCTCGCCGCCCAAGGAATCGCCCAAGGGCGCACCGGACGAGGCCTTCACGCGCGCGGCGGTGCCCTTGGTGCGGCAATTCGTGACGGCTCGGTACAAAGACTATGGAAAGGGAAAAGCAGCTTGGATTTTGAGAACTTGTCTTCTTCTTTTTGGGGGGGGTGATGGTGAGGGTGATTTCTGGTGACTGATTTCTTTTTTCTGTAGATCTTGGAATGGGACTTGTTGTGTGGGGATTTGGCTTTTGCGTCCGATGTGACTGCCCGACTTCGCCCCGGGTGGGCTGTGCATGTGGCTCTGGCTCGACGGCTGTGCAGACCGACCGGGGGAGCCGAGGTGACTCTGCGACACTTGAAGAATCATATTGTGGCCAAGAGCGACTTGGGTCTGACGTACGAGGACAGCAGCAGGGCAGGGAGGGGAGGGATCCATGGCGCAGGAAGACCCTTCTGTACTTTTTGTTGAAGCATCTTTCAAGGGTTCCGGGAGTTTTTCCCGTGGAGTGATTCTACAAATATCAGCTGCTCCTGTTTCCTTTTTTCAAAGGCTGAAGACTGTCCGCTGTCCTGATCTGTCTGCATGATCTAAAGATCTGATTAGCTTGCTCTGTCATAAGACGTTTCAAGATGCTCTCTGTGTCCTTCGACCCAGCCGTCAGTCTCCCAGCTTTGCCTGAGAGTCATCCGTCAGTTGCAGGACCTACGAGATGATCGATACTCTGCCGTCATTGAGGATGAAGTGGATGCCATTGTAGCAAGATGTGATGGTGGCAAGAGACTTGTACTGCAGAAACTGAAGGACTTTGATATACAACACTTTTTGGCAGTGCTATGAAGCATTTATACCCATGCTGAGGAAGCCAGTTGCTTGCGTCGAGGGTACCTGAGATGTTGCTTGAAAAAAGGAATCGGCAAGCCACATGCGGTGCACAAGTGTTTCGAGCGCAATGCTGCATTGCACTGCTGCATTGCACGTGAAGGGAAGAACAGTGAATTCTACTGTGAAGTTTTGATTGGAGGGAAGCCATCAGTGCCTTTGGAGGCTTTGGGCTCCAGATCAGGTCCAAATCTACTCACCATGCTTGAAGCTCCCCCTTCTAGTAGGGCTGATGATAGCTTGGTCTCACGACTCCCAACAAAAGGCAGTTCAGTGCGGCACATCTCTCCACACATCTTCAACAGCTTGGCGCGTCCACTCACTCCTTGTTTCATCGCCGCCCGCGCGGCGCCCAAGCCCCACCGCGGGGCACCTGCCATGACTCCTTAAGGGCGGCGCCGATGTCCATTGTGGGGCGCTTCCGTTTGTTCGTGCCGGGCGCCGTGGCGAAGGCCGCGCCCAAGCTGGGTCAGGCGTTGGGCCCTTTGGGCATCAACATGGTGGCCTTCTGCAAGGATTTCAATGCGCGGACCACGAAAGTTCGACCGGAAGTGCCCATTCAGGCCACCTTGGTGCCGCGAACGGATCGGACGTACAAGTTCTTCATCCGCTCGCCCTATTCGCCCTGGTTTTTGTTGCGGTGTGCGCGGCTACCCAGAGGCAGCAGTGTGGGCAATGGCGGCCCGCCGGTGGGAAATATTACATTTAAAGAGCTCTATCACATCGCCAAGGCGAAAAGCATGGATCCTCAGCTTATTGGCATTCCGACACGAACCATTTGCCTGGGTCTGATGCGGACAGCCAAGCAGATGGGCATCAAGGTGACGAGAGAACTGGAACCGGAATTCGCGAAGCGCAATGACGAGCCAGTGGAAGGGTTGGAAGAGAGGAGGAAGCAACTGCGGCTCTTGAACAAAGCTTCCAAGAAGGGCAAAAAGAAGTAGTGGGTGTGGGTCACAAGAGCCTTGGTTGGCTGTTTAGTTGCCATGACCCCTCAAAATAGGTTCAAAGGAGGGCACCATAAGTGCCTACAGGTCTTGACCCACACCCAGTTGAGTCTCCTGCCTTCCAATCTTCTCCGCTTGGCCTGGAGGGCTCTGCAGAAGTTGGGTTCGGATCGGTGCTATCTCCGGATGGCAAGTAGCCGCCTCAACGACTCATGGATGGCTTTGCAAAAGACCTGCGAGACGTGAAAATGGGCGTGGAGTAGACCGACTGATGCAAAAGATCATGAGTTAGCTTTGTCTGAGTCTAAGCCTCCGGTTTGGAAGAGAAAGATCATATGTGAATATGATAGGTACCCAGCAAACACCCCCTATTGCTCGGAGTAGCAAGATCACTGGCTCTTCCGTTGGTTGGGGATACCTTCATTTTGACTCAAATGTCTTGAACCACACCATGATCACCCGCCATCAAAGCAGTGGAAGAGTTGCACAGCCGCTTTGAGATGCTTTGAGCGTCATGCATGCTACAGATATGTAGGAAGGATTAGAAAGGGAGCTTTTAATCGGGAGCAGAGCAGCGGATGTAACACATTTTGCAGTAGAAGAACTTCTTGTCACGATTTGATGAGCTTCCATGCCAAAATCAGAGTTCCACAGATACCCTGATGCAAGAGGAACAGGCCAAAGAATATTTGGCAGCCCACCCGCCCTGCATTGATGCAGACTCCTGGGCAAATGGAGGAGGCGAAGCGATGCCAACCTGCTTGGATTTGACCCCTTAGCAGCCTTAGCACCCCAAAAAACATCGAAATCCTGCCCTTCACCGAAGATTCACAGAGCCCTCCCATCCTTTTTTGGGGGGGATGGAGACCTCTCATCCTCATCCTCCGAGCCGTTCCTGCCCATCCGATCTTCTTTGCAGGACGAGCCGTGCGACCCAGCAGCCGTGGAGGCGCGTGCCGAGGAGGTGCAACGCCTCCGCGATGCCTTGGGCAGCGATGTGGGGGGCCGAGCTCGGTCACGATGGGCCGAGGGGCCGTGGAGGTGCACGACGGAGATCGATGGGCCTCTGCCTTGTATGCTGTAGGTCCATCCACAATTGGGTTTGCCCTGGTGCAGCACTTAGGATTTTGTTGAGGTCGAAGTGCTTCTAGAACGTTCGAACGATGGGGTGAAACTGCTGCAGGCTTAGATATGGCAGTGCGCTCCTCCGCATGACAGAACGAGGCAGGGGGCATCTGTTGAGGGCTCTCAAATGGGCTCCTTCCTTCTACCCAGCTCAGCATCAGCTCGGCATCAGCTGAGGCATTGCTGGTGAAGAGCAGAAAGCTCGCTCTGCCGAAGCATCGCTCCAGGACCGCCTGATTTGGGCCTTCGTCCGGGGCCGCAGGGCGACGTGCCGTTGGGGCCAGTGACGCGGGCAGCTGATTTGGGCGTCGGGACGTGGTCCATGATTCGGCCCTGCCAGGGGCTTCTTGGGACTGCTTGTGGCGGTGAGGAGTCGTGTGCCCGTGGTGTTCTCAGTGCGGAGTCCAGTCGAGTCGGCCAGTGGTGAGAGTGGGCGGAGCGCGGCGCCTCCGCGGCGCCAGTTGTCGTGGGGTCGGGCAGTGCAAGCTCCTGTTCTTCTATTTTTTTTTGCGAGGTGCAAGCTACGAGGAGTTGGAGGAAGATTTGGAAGTGGTCGGGTCTCTTGGTCGTCCTCCATGCAAAAAAAGAAAAGAACAGGACTTATTTTCCTTTGCATGGACATATCATGAACCGTAACAACTGAAGTGGGAGGTTGTGGGAAGTCTTTAGAAACGAGCCGGTTAGACAGTTAGACTGGTTCTCGTGTGAACCTTCCATCCCTTGCGCCAGGCGTGGGAAACATTGGAGACAGCAAGGCAGAGACTTCAAGCTGTTTCTCTTTGAACTGCACTGAGACTGAGACTTGTGAGGAAATGCCTGGAGCAGGAGATTCTTTTTTCCGTCTACTCGACTTCTACTCCTTGTAACTCAACTAGGGTACATGGTACACGTGCTGCAATCGTGCTGCCATGATTGGCTTCAGGACAAAGAGCCTTCGTCATCATCTTTGCTGGCCCAGTGTCACCTTCGCTTGGTCGACCTCCTGGTTTTGCAGGCAGAGTGATCCAGAGTGATCCGCCCTGGGCGCACGTAGGCATGCAAACCGGGTTGGAGACCAATCGGATGCTGTTTCGCACAACGACAACGACCTGCGACCTGGGTGACCCTGTTCTCGTGCCTAGAAAACGGGCGTTGTTTCACGCAGAGAAAAAGTCGGGAAAATCACAGGCGTATGAGAGGGCGTTCCACCCGGTTCGTTCCACAAACATGCATGTGACGCGTGTTTCTGCCGCTTCGATCTGCCAGGGGCACAAAGGCTTGGCAGTCGAAGAGTGGCTTGGCAGAGTGGCTCTCCAAAGGTCTCGGGGCCCATCTTCCTTTGGATCCTTTGGAGAATTCCTGCTCGTTGGTTGGGGTTTTGAATCCCGCATGAAGAAATTATAGTTTCACGACCAATAGTTGCTTGGTGCATAGGTGCCTCATGTGCCTAACCCCCCCGGAGCTTCTGCAACAATGTGTTTGTTGATTGAGAGTGGCCGGCTCAAGCACCGCAAATCAACCACTTCGATTGAACAGTGCTGGCAGGGACAAAGTGGGACTTTGGTCCATATGAGATACTTTCTTCTTGGATTCAGATTTCATCGGTTTCACCGATTTTCTCATGCAACATCAGCTTCTCTCCACTGTCACTTTCCCTAAGGTGCAAGAAGGCAGTTGAATGCTGTCAGACAGATCAAGAAAAGGCCGCGCTCTTACAGTGCTCTCTTTTGACTAGCTCCGATGCGTAATCCGCAATGCAGTTTATAAATTTCCTCAGCCCTGTTGAATCAGCGTCCCTCTACAGTGGAGCGCCCCCAAACATAATCAACGACCCTTTCAAATTCTGACTGTGTGGCGGAATCGACCGGAGCGAACTGCAAAAAACGGACTCTGCCATTGAAATGTTCTTCCGCGGAAAACTGCTGTACTACTGGAGTACGTAGAGTAAGAACTTTGTGATCGAATCCAGGACTAGGGAGCTGACGACAGCGGCTTCAGGCTGTTCTGTTTCAAGCGTCCTGGCTTCGAACCTGCAATTCCAGATATACACATGAGAGCAGTGGAAACGCCACCGGCGCGGTTTGAAGTCGCTGTGCAGAGAGCGCTCCGGAAACACGACGTGCCATTTATAGTGGGTCTGACATCGAGCGCAGAGCGAAGATCCCCGACCAACTCCGGAAAGCAGGCTCTTAAAGACCTGGCGAAGCAACACCCATCGCTTCTGGAAGAGTGATCCGATCATGAAACGCGCTTTTCCGTCGTAAGAGTCATGTCACGTGAAGACAATGGATTCCGGTCACCCATCATATAGCTTCTTGGGTAGCCTGATGGATCAAGAGAACAACCAACGAACGAACCAACGCACCTCGCCATTTTACTTGACAAGCATATAGTTCTAAGCTAAAGCATATGTTATGATCAAAGAATATGCATAAACACTCCAGACTGCCAGACCTCTGAGGCTTCAGCCCAGTCTCGTTTGGCAGACGTCGAGTTCATGGCGAAGCTGAGAGACGTCGTCAACGAGAACGAGACCGGCGAAGAGGTGAAGTGCCGCGAGTCCGGTGCGGCGGGTGCGACGCGTTGGCGGAGAAAACGATCCGGTGATCCGCAAAAAAGAAAGACGGTGATTGAGAGACCATGTGAGCATGTGATGCACAGATCTTCTTCGGTGATGGCTTTATGTTTGTTGCCCAGTGTTTGTTCGAGCTATTTTCAGGCAGATCCGAACTTCACACCAGGTTGGCACCTTAGTTTTGAAGGAATGAGGGTGAGAGAGCTAGCAGCTAGCCAGTGAAGTTCTGAAACATTGGGCCACACGTTTGGTGTCCACCCTAGCGCTTCGGTGAATCAGGCCCTTCAACGATCCCCGAGGCAGGGTGTGGCCGCTGAAACGGCTGGTAGGCGACCGGAAGATGTCGGCGACCCTGCTAGCTGGGCAGGTTCCTGTGAGGAAGCGACCCCGAAGCAACGCCACTGGTGCGGCGACTGGCGCGACTGCGCCGGAAGAAATCGGTGCAGGGGAGTGTTGGAGGGAGTGGCAGATGACCGACTCGACCTTAGCAACGAGCAACTTCGATTTTCAGGATTGTTAGTGTACCAGTGTACCATTTTCACGGAATGTCTTCCACCCAAGTCTGAGAGAGGCCTGACATTTGTAATTTGCTCTCCGTCGTCGATGTGTGTTTGGTTCAAACATGTTACTTGTAGTTTTGAGCTTCACACACACACACATAGACACACATATGCATATAGGCATCATGTAAGTTTTCGTCGGCATCAGCTATATATTCTTCTTCGCCACACAAGCAACATCAGCAAACCTTTCAATCAAACCCAAGTGAACACTCTCCAGCCCGTTGACACACACTAGGCGTGCAAGAAAAATGCAGTAGCACAGTGGCACTTGCACCCATGCGCACCATGCAGCAATGCCAAACATTGAGGCATGGTTCTTGTTTTTTCTGTCAAAGTTCTCCACAGGCTGACTGGAGTCATCAACACCAAGACTATTTTTGCCAACATTGAGGATATGACAACAACTTACTTATCTATATAAATTCTTTAAGTATATTTATCTATCTCTATCAATCTCTCTATCTCTCTATGAAAGATATAGAAAGATGGTCTGAAAGCTGTCGCACTTTTTTTCCCAGTTCTACTGCCAAACCGGGGTTTTGGTCTCGCCCGTCGCAGACCCGACCTCGACCCGCGGCGTGGAGGTGATTCATGCCGATGAGACCACCTTACAATTGCTTCGAGGCCGCAGCAGCACAGCGCAGAGGGACCGCGGAGCGCTTTTGCTCTTTTTTTTGATTTGGATTTTCCTTTCAAGTCGGCTCCAATCGCCTAGAATCATCATTTGTTTGATTTTGCTTGACTATGACACGGCTCACTTCAGAGATCCTTATTCTTATTTTACTTTAAGTCTATCCCTCCCTCGCTCTCGCTCTCGCTCTCGCTCTCGCTCTCGCTCTCGCTCTCGC